GCACCCAGAAAAATGTTAACCAACAAAAACTGAAATAGCTGTTTTAATATCAGGCAAAGCAAACTTTAAGACCACAAAAGATGTTGTTTTGCAGTAAAATGATAAAAAAAAGGGCGGTTTATATGTACCTAGCATATACTGGACAGGTTTTAAAGAAGAAATTTACAAACCCACAACACAGTGGGAGATTAGCACATACTTTTCAACAACTGAGGAGTCAAACTAAAAATAAGTAAGGGAAAATAAGGGAAGAATTGAAAAACAATAATATTCTATGCCCATATAAAATTTTATCAATTTCTTACAAATACCATCTTGACATCACCCTTGTTAGAAAAATAGAGAAGGTACACTAGTCTACCTTTCCTAAAACCAGAAACAGGAGCAAAGAATGTGACAATCCCAATCAAACAAACAAGTTATCAACAAAGGAGGAAGTGCAAACACTCCTTTCTGACACCAAGGCAAAACCTCTTTCCTATAAATCAAGCATTCTATAGCTCCCTAACTGTTTTTTCCTATTTTTGCTTTTACTGCCTAGGTCAAACATTGAGAAAATAAACTATGTTATTATGTATAAGTACTTTAAGCAGTGTAGATAAATGGGTTTTATAAAAATACTAATGGCCTGGAGCATGAAATTCATGCACGGTGGGGGGAGGAGTCCTCAGCTCAGCCTGCACCACCTCCAATCTGGGACCCCTCGAGGGAAGTCACAGGGATCGGGCCTAAACCAGCAGTCAGACATCTCCCTCACAATCTGGGACACCTGCCTGCATGCCTGATCGTCCCTAACCATTCTGCCTGCCAACCTGCTCACCCCCAACTACCCCTCTCACTAGCCTGATCACCCCAACTGCCCCCATGCTTGCCTGCTTGCACCAAACTGCCCCCCCCCCCCAGGGCCTGATCACCTTCAACTTCCCTCCCTTCTGTCCTGATTGCCCCTAACCACTTCTATCTTGGCCTCGCCACCATGGCTTTGTCAGGAGGTATGGCCAGGTCTCCTGGAAGGTCTCCTGGTCTTAATTAGCGTATTACTCTTTTATTAATATAGATAGAGGCCTGGTGCACAGGGCGGGGCAGCTGGTCTGCCCTGAAGGGAGTCCCGGATCAGGGTGGGGGTTCCTTTGGGGGGCGTGGCCAGCCTGGTCAAGGGGCTGATGGCCATTGCAGGCTGGCCAGAACCCCATAACCCCAATGGGGTGAGGATTCCTGCAGGGCGAGGGGCTGAGAGCCATTTTGGAGTGGTTTGCAGGCCAGCCAAGCCACTGGCTTTGTCCGGAAGGTCTCTGGAAGGTCTCTGGAAGGTCTCCTGGTCTAATTAGCATATTACTCTTTTATTAAAATAGTCTAGAGGCCCAGTGCATGAAATTTGTGCAAGGGAAGGGAGGGTGTCCCTCAACCCAGCCTGCACCCTCTATAATCTGGGACCCCTCGAGGGTCATACACACACTTTAGTGAGAATGTTAAGAGAAATCATCATTTACTGGAGATGACACTCTGGTAGTTTTTGTTCACTAATCACTCTCTTTGCAAGACTCTGTCTAATCCTCCATTAGATGGAGCCAGTTTCAAGATACAAAGCAAATAGACTGCTTTTTATGGTTTTAATCCCATGTACATTTAGGATGGCATCCTTAACCACTGGCCAGGTTTGCAAGTGTACCAGGGGGGCACCCTGCCTACTTACATGCATGAGTTCCTGGGAGTATCATCCAATCCCAAGGCCACCCCAAGAGGGTATAGTGGGAACCCATGGGTCTGCCTGTCTGGAAAAGGAGACAGTAGACTCAGAGGACAGCCACCAGCTACCGACACCAAGATATTATTTAGTCTGATGAACAAAATAGATCCAGAGACATAGAAGCATGGAACAGACTGTTGAACTTCGAAGGGAAGGTGTGGATGGGAAGTGATCAACCAAAGACCTTGTATACATATATGCAAAACCCATGAACACAGACAATAGGGTGGTGAAGGCCTGAGGTAGGGGGTATGGTAGGCTAGAAGAGGTCAATGGGGGAAAAGAGCACATATGTAATACTTTCAACAATGAAATTAGGACTAAACTTCAAACTGCCTTCTTTTTTTATTTATTTTTTATTGATTGATTAAGGTATTACATATGTGTCCTTATCCCGCCCCCCCATTGCTCTCACACTCACACTCATTCCCTCACCATTACTTCCCACTGGTGTCTGTATCCATTGGTTACACTTATATGAATGCATACAAGTCCTTTGGTTGATCTCTCCTCCTTACCCCTGCCCTCCCCTACCTTCCCTCTGAGGTTTGATGGTCTGATCATCCTTCTCTGTCTCTGGATCTGTTTTTTTTCATCAGTTTATGTTATTCATTATATTCCACAAATGAGTGAGATCATATTATATTTATCTTTCTCTGACTGGCTTATTTTGCTTAGCATAATGCTCTTCAGGTCCATCTATGCTGTTGCAAATGGTAAGAGTTCCTTCATTTTTACCATAGCATAGTATTCCATTGTATAGATGTACCACAGTTTTTTAATCCACTCATCTGCTGATGGGTACTTAGGCTGTTTCCAAGTCTTAGCTATGGTAAATTGTACTGCTATGAACATGTGGGGGAGGGGCATATATCGTTTTTGATTGGTGTTTATAGTTTCTCATAAGATGGGAAATCATAAAAATATTATATGAATCCACAGGCAGCAAAATCTCAGACATATACCAAAGCAATATCTTCACTGATATCGCTCTTAGGGCAATGGAAACTAAACAAATGGGACTATATCAAAATAAAAGCTTCTGCAGAGCAAAAGAAACCATCAATAAAACAACAAGAAAGCCAACTGCATGGGAGAACATATTTGCCAATGTTATCACCAATAAGGGTTTAATCTCCAACATTTACAAAAAATTCATACAACTTAACAAAAGGAAGATAAATAACCCAATCAAAAATGGCAATGGACCTAGATCGGTACTTTTCAAAAGAAGACAAAAGGAAGGCCAAGAGATAATGGAAACATGCTCAAAGTCACTAATCATCCAAGAGATACAAATCAAAACAACAATGAGGCACCATCTCACAGCTGTCAGAATAGCTATCATCAACAAATCAACAAATGACAAGTGCTGGCCAGGACACAGAGAAAAAGGAACCCTCGTGCCCTACTGGTGGGAATGTAGATCGGTGCAGCCACTGTGGAGAACAGTATAGAGTTTCATCAAAGAACTAAAATGAACTCCCATTTGACCCTGTGATCTCACTTCTACCATAGGAATATATCCCCATGCAACCTTCTTTACTTTCAAAGCAGGTTCTAGTTCTAGATTTCCAAAAGGCAGGTTAGGATGATGGAGATGTAGAAAGCCTGAAATTATTAAGAACTAAGGTTAGTAATAAAACTCTTTTAAGAAACTGCCTCTCAGTTTAACAGTGTTTTGTTTTGTTTTGTTTTGTTCCTTTTTAATCAATGAAGCAAGCTGCTAGGGCAGGATGGGAAGTGAGAGGTGGGGAGGGTGAGAGGAAAGGCAGGTAGGAGGGGTCAAGGATAGAGACTGCCTGCTGTATCCATGATAGCCACTTCTGGTTGTATTTTAAATGAAATCGCATCCCTGTGTAGACACCACGTCTGGAATTAGGACTCACCCTGTGATCTGTCACTTTTAAATACACACAGAGGGAGTGGAGCGTCTCAATAGAGAGGAAACAATTCAAGAAAAGGAGCCGGCAACCCCAGAAGAGACAGAAGTTCAGGGGGATATTCCCTGGGCAGATCTGGTCCTGAAGCTGCACCTGCCTCACTGAGCATCTCCACTCCAGAGGAAAGTCCACTCTCGGGTAAGATTTTGGACAGAGGTTTTTCTATGAAGGATAAATGTATTTGCCCTAAATTAGGCAGGAGGTCCTGGGGACTGGACAAGGGTAAGACATGAAAGTTGAAAGACAGTGAGTGCTGCATGCCACGGTGTTTTAAATATGAGACCATGGGGAAGTTTCTAAGGAGGGTGGAGAGGGACGGGCAAAATGATCCTTTTGTTGATACAGACAGGCATGCTTTGCAAAAGGTAATAGATTGGAGGCACAATGGGTTCATACAAATCTATTTCTTCAGAATGGAACTCAGTCATGAACATGAAAAATGTCCCTCAGTAATAGTTTACCAATGGGGATAGGAAGTCAGAACCACAGAGTATTCCCTATTGTCGGCAGAAGCAGGAGGATGCTTGCAATTATGGTTTATCATGTGCCAGCATATTTAACCTTTGTCACCTTTCATTCTCTCAAAACATCTGTGAGGCAGGTAATGTGGACTAAGAGATTCACCCAAGATAATTAAGAAAGTGAGGGAAGTTTTAAACTCAGGCCCTTTGCCTTCAAAACCTAGAGTCCTTTCCCCCTTGCTACACAGGTGCTTTGGAGGGAAGGGACAGATCTATCCAAGGACTTGGTGCTACCTGTGAAAGGGAGAAACCATAAAGATGGATGTTTGGTGCCTCCACTTGATGCCCAAATTTTCTGAGAAATCCTGTTTGCAATTTTCTCAAGCATAGCAATCTAGCAAACACACACACACACACACACACACACACACAGCTTCCAATAATGAATTAAATAATACGACAGTGTTATAAATTCTGCCAATGACCAGTTATATGTAACATGTCAACTTTCCTCCAGCTTTGGAGGAAGAGCCTTTCACATAGAAACCTTCAGTGCTCACTTTGGGAGTGAACTGCTTAGAGCTCTCTCTCTCTCTCTCTCTCTCTCTCTCTCTCTCTCTCTCTCTCTCTCTCTGTGTCTGTGTGTGTGTGTGTGTGTGTGTGTGTGATCACACAACACTAACACGAGTCTACAAGTAGAAAACAGCTTACTGCTATACTCACTACTATCCCATTTAAAATGATTAAAGCTCTCCCTAGGTTCTGCAGCCACTATTTTCTAAAATGTTTTTAAATTTTTTAAAAAATATTTTATTGATTTTAGAGAGGAAGGGAGAGGGAAACAGAGATAGAAACATCAATGATAATCATTGATTGGCTGCCTCCGGTACACCCCAACTGGGGATCGAGCCCACAATCCAGATATGTGCCCAACCAGAAATTGAACTGTGACCTCCAGTTCATAGATCGACCCTCAATGACCAAGCCACAATAGCTGAGCTAAATTCTTCAGTTTTTTTAACTCAGCTTCTTAACGGTATCTGCATATAAACTGTATAAAATAGGGAAAAACACTGTCATCCTTCCCACCCCCTCCCTGATGGAAAATGGAGCTAGCAGGGGGCACAGTATATAACTGAACTCTTTCCCTTCCAGTACCCTCTCCCTCAGAGATGCTCTGAATTTCAGGCTGGCCCAGGTTCCTAGGACTGAACTCAGATTTCAGAATTATGTGTGTATCTTTAAATAACCCAGAGAATGTACTGTTGTAACAACCTTAAAGAATGGTTGAGTTTCAGATAAACAAACAAGAAAAATATAGATGTAGAGTTTTACCCCTCTACTTTAAATCTAAGTAGATGGGGCTTGCTTATTTTCATAGCAGGTAGCAGTGTTTCACTAGAGATGATGGCAAAAGCACCTGAAGAATGGAAGAGGGGAAACTTGCTTAAGAATTAGTCTTCAGTAGGGAAGCAAAGGATGACGGATGACTTTTCCCTGTGGAGAGTTTGTTTTCCTTTACCCTGCAAACCCTAGACAGAGGTAAATGAGGGGTAGGGAAGAGAGAGAGAAAGACAGAGAGAGAGAGAGAGAGAGAGAGAGAGAGAGAGAGAGAGAGAGAGAGAGAGAGAGAGAGAGAGAGAGAGAGAGAGAAATCTGCAACTCAGTTCCCTGAAACAAATGTCCAGATGTTCTGTGGGTGGCGAGAACCATTGTAGTAAGCAGGCATAGACAAAACCCCAGGTCGTCTGAGCCTTAAGCCCCTCTCATGCCCCTTCCTATTTCCCTCATTTCTACCACAGGGAGAGATGCTTGTGCCAGCCCACTTCCTGCTGCTGCTACTGCTGCTCCAAGGGGCCCCCAGGATGAGTCTGTCCCATAAGTTCTCCAAAGCCGAGTCCATCTTCTGCTGCATCAACATGGCCCTGTCTGAAGCCAAGAAAAGCCAGCTGGAGGAGATACCCCTGCTGAGCAAGAGAGGCTTCCCCTACCTACCCAGGCAGGACCCATCCTCAGATGAGGACAAAGAGAATGAGGAGAAGGGAGAAGACAAGAAGAAAAGGACCTTCTCTGGCCCCAGGAGTAGTGGTGGAGCTGGAAGCTCTCGTTACAAGTACTTATCCAAAGCACAGCTCAAAGGGAAACTACACCAGAACAAGGCCAAGACTAATCGGAGCACCAAGTTCACTCTGTCCCTTGATGTTCCCACTACCATCATGAATGTCCTCTTAAACATTGCCAAGGCCAAGAACTTGAGAGCCAAGGCAGCTGCCAATGCCCATCTGATGGCACAGATTGGACGGAAGTAGGCTCGAGGACAGCAGGGCAGCCTATGAAGGACAAGGATAAAGGTCAGGTGGAGGGTAAGAGTTTGCCCACCCAACTGGTTTTTATTTTGTGGACAATCCAGTTTTACAGGCTGCCTCATTGCTCGACCCCTCTACCCTTTCCTATCTCCAGCCCAGCTTTCTCTGTACAATACACAGGCATGCAGAATTGTCCCAACTTCACAGATATGAATCTATTAAGGCCTCTTCCTATGTTCTGTGTCTCATTTTATCTTTCCCCATACTTCTCCCTGAAGATCCCGTGCCTGGGAAGAGAGCACCTAGGGTTCCTCTCTTCACCCAGCAACCCCAGCCAACACTGGGAGATAAAGAGACGCACTGATTACCATCCTGCCATCAGATCCTACCCTCTTGCTTCCATTAAAACAAGTGACTTCTTGAACCCCTGGTTTGTGTCAGTTCCTCTTTCATCAGCCAGCTGCCTCCAAACTTCTGAACTTGGAGAGAAAAGGCAAATGAGGGAGGATATAGATAAGTCAATTCCCCATCTCTCCCAGGATGGGAATGGTTCTTGGGTGTCATAGGTAGAGTAAAGAAGAGCTTAGGGAAGATCAAACTGACAGGATTGTGTCAGCTGTCATTCAAACTAGAGCCATCTCCATGGCTTGATCCTACCCAAAAGGCACAGCCTGGGCTAGACAGGAGAGGGAGCTTTCAGTATCCCCTATGGGACACCCCACATCCTCATGGCCTTCTGGTGCATAGGCCCTGGAAGCCTTTAATAGGTGCTCACTGAGCCCACAGTAACTGCCCAGCATGGTGCTGAGCACCTGGGAGATGCCAATGTGTGTGAGACAAGGCCACTGCTCTCCATGAGTGAACATCTAAGCAGATAGACAAAATGAAAATGGAAATAAAAGCAAATATCACCAGAGAAGAGGTAAGTGATGAATTGCAAAGTGATAGCAATTGGTGTAAAGAATATATGAGGAATTCAAGATGAGAGGTTTAATATGAGTAAAAGTTCACTAACAACAGACATCAGGAAGAACTCTGATAGCCTCTGGCAGCAGAGCCTAAGGGCCAGTTCCCCAGAGAGGGACTGCGGTCCCACTCACTTCTTCATGGTGATGAATCATAAATATATAAAATGAATTTCTACATAGTAAAGCAGCATTACCACACACCAGCAGTTAATATTTCCACCACCAGCAGCAGCAAAAACAAACCACAAATGAATGACAAATTTGGGAAAATGTTTGCCACCCATATAAAAGACAAATGGCTTATTGATCAAATTTATAAAGAGCTACTAAAAATTGAGAAGAAAAGAGTAAAAAACAGCCAAAACGTGTTTGGCTCAGTGGATAGAGCATCGGCTTGTGGACTGAAAGGTCCCAGGTTCAATTCTGGTCAAGGGCATGTACCTTGGTTGCAAGCACATTCCCAGTAGGGGGTGTGCAAGAGGCAGCTGATTGATGTTTCTCTTTCATCAATGTTCCTAACTCTCTATCCCTCTCCCTTCCTCTCTGTAAAAAAACAATAAAATATATATTTTAAAAAAAGAAAAGAAAAAAAAAACGAAAGAGAAATAAGCAAGGATCTATTGTAAATAGGGCACTTGAGAAAATTTGTCAGACAATTAGTCTTTAAAATAAAAGAAAATATATCAAATTCATAAAAAAAATATAAAATATATAAGAATGTTTATCTAAAAATGCAAAAGGGACCAAAAAGTCATGTCTATTCCCTCTAAAAGTGATTATTTTAGTAGATTTTTAAATTTTTAAGACAATAGAAAAACCTGTAATGGTCTTTTCTGTATATGAGAATGCACACAAACGCATGCACACACATACAAATGTCGACTAGAATATCAACACTCATTTGAGCTTCTGAGCAGTTATTTTAAGCATTTCATCAGTGCCCTCCAGTGTCTGAAGGGAGAAATAATACATATGTATTAAAAAAAATTTAGGTACTTAGTAAGAGCCTAATAAAAGTTCAAAGCAGGATATGCACATGGAAAAAAGTTTCATCACTGAGTACTTACTACAATTCACTGTGTGGCATACTTTCATAGGTTTACAGCTATCCATATGGAAAATAATACAATAATTAATAAATAATAAAATAAACTGTGTACCCATAACCGTACACCTAATTTTGCCTCGCCCTATATAGTGAGATTTTGTAATGTATCCTAACCCTCCCTGAATCTTGAGGTGGAAGTAAGCGGATACTACGGATCAATCCTGTAGCTGGAAGGGGCACAAGGAAGAAGAGTTCCGAGCAGCTACATAGAACAGGTGACATCTGAACTGGATTTGTAATAGGAATTACATTCCATGGTCACAGAGGAAGGAAGAGAGACAGCAAGGAGAAGGAGCAAAGGTATAGGAGAGAGAAAAGAGAATCTGTCCTGAGAAGGAGTGAGAGTCTGGTTTGAATGTATGACAGCAAAGAAGAGGTTGGAATTGTAAATTTTAGCTGAAACTAGTGGTAACAAGCTCTGCATATAACATGCAGGAGTTTACACTTTATGCCTAAAACAATGGGGAATTATCAGAGCTTTGTATAGGGAGCAGAATAATCTATGCTGTGCAGCAGAATAGTCACAGAGTCGTGAGTAAGATGGATTCAGAAGACCAAGTTAGAGGTCGAAAGCATTTCTTTTTTTTAACATATTTTTATTGATTTCATAGAGGGAGAGGGAGAGAGAGATAGAAACATCAATGATGAGAGAGTATCATTGATATGACTCATGCACACAGCACACTGGGGATCAAGCCTGCAACCTAGGCATGTGCCCTGACTGGGAATCAAACTGAGACCTATAGTTTCAATAAATCGATGTTCAACCACTGAGCCATGCCGGCTGGGCTGGAGCAGAAAAGCATGTGCTAGGGACAGGAAGAGGATTTGATGACCTGAGCTAGGATAGCATTAACAGGAAAAAAAGACAAGGGATTCTGAAAACATTATAGAAGCAGAATCGATAGTACTTAATTCTAGTATATGGGAAGGAAGAGGGAGCAGTCAAAAATGACTGCTTACGCTCTGCCTAAGTGGAGAGATGATGACATGAATAAACAATACAGAACACCAAAGGAAGAGCAGATTTCTTTGGAGGAAATTTATGTTTTTCTTGGAAGAAGTTAAATTTAAGTGTAGGCATAATATCTGGGAGGATATGTCCAGCACATCTGGCGAGAATTCTACTCTGAGACTCAAGAGAGGCCCTAGCCTAGCCTATTTTGCTCAGTGGATAGAGTGTTGGTCTGCAGACTGAAGGGTCCTGGGCTCGATTCCGGTCAAGGGCATGGGCCTGGGTTGCAGGCTTAATCACTGGCCCTAATTGGGCTTGTGTTGGAGGCAACCAATCGAAGTATCTCTCTCACATTGATGTTTCTCTCTCTGTCTCTCCCCCTCCCTTTCACTCTCTCTTTAAAAAATTTTTTTAAAAATATCCTCAAGTGAGGATTAGAAAAAAAAAAAATCTCAAGAGAGAATGGAAACATAAAGTTTCACAGTAACCCACATAGACCTGATATGGTTGTGAATAAAATAAAGACCAGAGAAAAGGACCGAGGGTATCTCCATTAGGGACAGACAATGAAAGAAAAGAAATCTGAGGAGGAGAACCAAGTAGTGCCACAGGAAGTGAAAGAAAAAGTTTCAAGGAAAAAAAAAAGTTACCAAATCCTTAAAGTTAAGAAATCTGAAGACTGAGAAAGTCAGAGTTGTTTGGTTGGGTTTGTTTGTTTTTTTTTCTAATTTTTTTATTGATTATGTGTCCATATCCCCCCATTGCTGCTCTATCCCAGAAGATCATGGTTTTGATAAATCTAGTAATATCAATGATCTTCAAGACAATAGTTTTAGTAGAATAATGGGGTTCACCAAATCATAAATGTTGTTAGCCATCAGAGTTGAGACAAGCAACTCCCACTTAAGAAAATACAACTCCATCTTAGAATTAAGTTCCTTCTAGCAGAAGTTATGCGCTGCCCTGCGGGTTTGGCCAGAAGCTAAAGATTAACCTGCTGCTTAGCACATCTTGCTCCAGAGGATCTCTGCAACATCCCCTTCCTGATCCTCCCCCATAGCTAGCCCAGGCCTTGGAATGTTACACCTTGGAATGTTACACCGCCCTGGCAGTCAGCCAATCCTGTGTTGCCAGGTACCTTACCACCTTGTCACTCAGTACATAAACCAATTATACACTGTCAAAGACCCCACTGCGTAGGCAACCCTGCCCCCCTTTGTTCCTGCTGTGTATATACTGCCATTCCAAAAATAAAGTTTGAGGCTTGATCAGAACTTTGTCTTGCCTCCATTTCTCCGTGTCCCTTTCCCTTCTTTTCATCCTCCACAGGTCCTCCCTCTCCCCACGTTGTTGTGCCCCGTGGGCCAGGGCAATAAAGGCTAAGGAGTGAGCAGAATATTAGGTATGGGCATCAAATGTATATTCCTTTGAAAAGTTTGATAGAGGGCAAACATGTGACAGTATATTTTAAAAGTAATAGAATCCAGAAAAAGGTGTTGATTGTTGAAATGAGGAGACCTCCACATATAAGTAGAAAGAAGAAAAAAAGTCAATGGAGAGAGACAGACTATGCAGGGGGTTGAAGAAACAAGGTGTCCTAGAGCAGTCGAGGGGAGGAAGCACACAAATCATAAGTGACCTTGGAAAGAAGTCTTTCCTCTGGGATAGTAGAGGATATGTGAAGATTCAAAATAATATTTAAGGGAGATCAAAGAGGAACATAAAAAAATTCGAATAGATATGACTTATATAAAGTAGGAAATAAAGTGACCTCCTGGTGTTTTTCAACCTAATAATTATTGAGTACCGACTATATGCCGGTCACTGTAGAGAGTTAGATAAATTAAGGCAGAGCCTGCCTCAAGATTACATTTAATTAGTGCTTATACTCCTCAGAGCTATTTCAATCATTAGTTCAGGAGATCTCACTCTCTGAGGAAGAAAGGGAAAATATGCCCTCTCAACCCTAGATACACATTTAAAAAGAGTAAAGGGAGTTATTTTGTCAAAAGGAAAATGATGCCAGGTGGAAGTATGGTTATAACAAGACAGAACAAAGAGTAAGATTGAGGGAAAATTTAAGCAAATATCTACTTTTAAAACAGCAACACTAATAATCAATGACTTGTGGGCTTTAAAATATGTATGGTGGCAGGACAGTAAATGAAGTGGAAGTGTCCTAAGTTCTTATTATTGTCTGGCAATGGTAAAAACACTAATGCATGCCAATAAGTCAAGTATGAATGTTGTAATTTCTAGAGTACACACTAAAATACATAAATAATTTCAGAGAGGGAAGGGATATGGAGAGAGGTAGAAATATCAATGATGAGAGAGAATCTTTGATCAGCCACCTCCTGCATGCCCCCCACTGGTGATCAACCCCTCAACCTGGGCGTGTGCCCTGACTGGGAATTGAATCGTGACCTCATGGTTCATGGGTCAACACTCAACCACTGAGCCATATTGGCTAGGCTACACTAAAATATTTTAATAAATATTTAATAAGCTAATAGAGAGGCAATATGAATAATAAAGAAAAACGTGGCAAATCTAATATTTGCGTATGGCATTGTACAAGTAGCATCACAAGTTAATCAGTTCTTAGACTCACAAAATCTTGGAACTGGAAAGGGTCTTAGAAATAACATTATCCAAGATAAGGATTTTAAAATATGGAGAATTTATGTATATATTTCAAGAATAGATCATTGTAACAATGCCATGAACTGGATTCATCTTTCCTAATATCTAATTAAATAGTTCTTCCATGTTATCTCTTCCCTTTTACAGACAAACTTAATTCAAAAAAACAGCCTTTAAAAAAGTATGTGATTCTTGATGACTAACCTCTAGGATACCTTACCCTACAGCTCACAAGTATGTAAAGTGTCCATAGTACTTAAGTTATCAAACAGCTTTATTTATAACCATAAAAGATAGATATGATTTTAAAAGGCAAACATGAGAGGCATAAGTTAATTGAAAAATAGAACCCCCTATCCCAGTAATTTGGACATTAGCATAGACTCCTTCAAACATTGAAGGTTTTCTTCCACACTTAAAGAGCCAGACAGTCCACTGTTAGTCTATGTTGGATTTGGAGAAAGTGATAGTCAGGTTCACCAAATCACTCCTTTTATTTGGAGGGAAAAAATACTTTTTAACTTTCCTCCAAATGTTTGATTGCAGCAAGTCAGAAGATAAGAATGAGAATCATTTTCATTACTCTGTTACTATAATGGAAGTCCTAGTGAATCTTAGGATTAACTATCCCAAAGAGAACTCTGGGATGACATTGTTTTGCTATCAGCATAAACTGAGGCCTTGGCACAGGGCCTTGGAAGTCAAGGCCAGAGATTTATCCAAATACTCAGAGACCTAAGGACTGAGCAAAAACTCACTAATAGTTGTGTGGACTGGTAAACCATATCTTCACAAGAATTGACAAATATCTATCATTTCCACCAAACTGTGGTCATTGGCCTCCATGGTGACAATGGTTTGAGTTGAAATAGTGGAAATGGTTTGAGGCAAAATAGTCCATTGTTCAAATGGAGCTCTTAAAGTCCACATCTCAGGGCAGTGATTTCTATTAGGAATATGTTAAGGATACAGCAGAAGTCCTGGGATCCAAGTGACACATGTAAAAAGGTGGCAGCATTGCAGTTTGTTAAGTCTCACAATAAGACCCACAACTTTACACCTTCAGCCAAGACTATAGGGCCTACTAGACCAAAATCACCATGAGGCTAAAAGAGAGTACAACCAGAGGACTAAGGATGAAAGGTAAATACTACAGATGAGGAGGCACCTGAAAGCCACCTACCATCAGTTCAAGAGCAACACCAACCAACTAGAACCTTTGCAGTATCTAGTTCACCTTAATTTTAACTATTAAGCTAAACAATATGGCTTCTAAAAATCTAGCTAGTGAATTTAATGCATTTATAGCTATTTTGTTCATTTTAAATTATAACTCATTTGAAAATGGGTTACTACTATACAGTAACACTGTTTAAATACAAAAAAATAAGTCAATTCTATTAAGTGGTTTTTTAACTTCAAATCCTCAAATCACATTCTTTCCAATCCCCAGGACTTTTCATTTAGCAATTCTGTAGTAATGGTCAAGAATCTGTCTTTTCTTTTTTCTTTTCTTTTTTTTTTTTTTTTTTCTAAACCTGTTAAATGGTTCTGATGCAGGGTTCTATGGCTACACTTTGAGAACACCTCCTCAGGGAAGGAAAATGGAAAGGAGATCACTTTCACCCTCTGGCCTATAGGACACAGATTCAAATTTGTGAAAGACCCAAGAATATTCTTGTTTGTTTATTTGTATAAAAAGTAAATTGAGACTTTAAGGCCACATTTGGAAGAAAATGAATTATACTGAAAACACTCATAATTTAATCAAAGTATAAAATATAGATAAGGAGGAAATAACATTAATAATCAAAATTGTGCTGTTTTTCAACTCAAGTAGAGGATAGGGAAAGCATTAATTTTAGTGCTTCATAGTATCATGGTTGAAAAGCAAAGAATATACTAGTATAGCCAGGTTTCCATTCTGACAAAACACACAGACACACACACACACACAGACACACACACAAATGACATGACCCAGAAAGAACTCCAAAGCTTAGAAGGTCCACAGGTAGCAGTGCTGAATTATACTAACAGACAAGAAAAGATGTTCTCATTGTTAATATTGGCTGATTTAATTTAGTGTGGAACTTACGTTCTTGCTTCATTTAATTTCTTCTTCTAATCAAAGGAACTCTACCCACTAACTGTAAAATGTCTTTAAAAAGTAAGCATGGTATTTAACATTATTTTCACTTCAGAAACTTTGCCCCACCTCCTCATAATCCTTCTCCAGAGATGCCAGATCTCTCCTGGCCTCTGAAAATTCTTCTTCTTCCATGCCTTCTCTGATGTACCAATGTAGAAATGCCTTCTTGGCATACATGAGATCAAACTTGTGGTTCAGGCGGGCCCAGGCCTCTACAACTGCTGTGGTGTTGCTCAGCATGCAGACAGCCTGCTGGACCTTGGCCATTTCCCCCCCAGGCATCATCATGGGTGGTTGGCTGTTGATGCCCACCTTGAAACCAGTTGGACACCAATCCACAAACTGAACAGAGTTCCTTGACTTCATGGCTGCAATTGCTGCATTGACATCCTTAGGGACCACATCCCCTCTATAGAGTAGGCAGCAGGCCATGTACTTCCCCAGTTGAGGATCACACTTGACCAGCTGGTTGGAGACCTCAAAGCAAGCAGTGGTGATATCTGACACAGAGAAGTCCTTGTGGTAGGCATTGTCAGCAGAAATGATGGGGGCTAAGGCTGTCATAGGGAAATGTATTCTCGGATAAGGTACCAGGTTGGTCTGGAATTCATTTAGGTCCACATTCAAGGGCCCTTCAAACCGGAGGGAAGCAGTAATGGAAGATACTGCCTGACCTATCAGTCTATTAATGATGGTGTAAGAGGGGCGATCAACACCAAGTTTGTGATGGCATATGTCATAGAGGGCCTCATTGTCCATCATGAAGGTACAGTCCGAGTGCTCTAATGTGTAATGGGTGGTGAGGATGGAGTTGTAGGGTTCTACTACAGCAGTTGAGATCCTGGGAGCTGGATATACAGAAAACTCCAATTTAGTCTTCTTGCCATATTGCATTGAGAGATGCTCCATTAAGAGAGATGTAAATCCCGATCCAGTGCCTCCTCCAAGGCTTCGGAAAATCAAAAATCCCTGTAGTCCACTGCACTGTTCTACCTGGAAAAGAAAGCAAGATGTAGGAACTCAGCCAAATACTGGTAAAGCCAGAAGCAGTGGTGATGGTGGGACACAAGTTCCCAAAACAAACCAAAACTTTCAGAAAGAACTGATTTGCCATTATCAACTCCACAACAAACTTTACTTTGGAACATATTTGAGTGGTTACTTCTGGGATGGCAAAGCACTTTGGAGATTTACTATAGAAAAGCATAAATATTCTACTGTTCTGCATTGCCCTCCATGAATATATCTGTATGTGATCTAAAGCAAGGTCTTTATCAATAACAATAAAAATGATTAGCAAAACATTGAAGCAATATACTTCCCCCCATATTAGATGAAGTGCCTATAATTTCTACCGTGTTTCCCAAAAAATAAGACATCCTCCAAAAATAAGACCTAGCGCATGGAAAGATAAGACATCCTCTGAAAATAAGACCTAGCACAACTTTGGGAGAAAAAATTAATATAAGACACTGTCTTATTTTTGGGGAAACAGGGTATGTCCAGACTACTGGGCTGGTGTAAAGGCACCATTTTACCTAAGGAGTATGGCAAATGCCAAAATATTTCCTCAACCAAGATTCTCCAGACACAGGTCCTTAAATAATTAACTGTCAGTAAATAGAATAACTAATCTTCAGGAAGAATGTGCCTCTGTTAACTTTACAAATAGTGATTACTAAGTTTTGGGATGCTTTGGGA